TATATATATATATACAGAGAGAGAGAGAGAGAGAGAGAGGGAGGGAGAGAGAGAGAGAGAGAGATTATACTGAAACTTGCACCCCCCCAAATGGCAAATACGTTCCAGCTACACACTGAAATTGGTCTTGAATACGACGTAATGACATGTGAGGGTAAATAAATAAATAAGCGATCATTGTATTAATTTTATGGTAGTATTAACACTTAGTGTTTATACTGTAAAACGTTTATACAATAAAGTAAAATGACACATGTGGGGCGCACTATCTGTCATTTAAAGCAAAATTTACGAAATCTGATTAAGTAGAAAACTCAATTTTTTTTCTAAACGGAAACCAGTATTGTTTTAAATATAGTATAGACAAATTGAAATTAATTTAAGCCAATTTTTTAACAATTTTTACATTAAATAATTATTTAAAGGTTCAAAAAACACGTATGATAATGATAATAATAATATCGAATCTTAAGAGTTATTAAGATTCGTTCTGGCCCTAAGGAACCTGCTTAATGTTGACAACCTTTATGCATTTCTAGTATGTTTTTATCTTTACGAATTATTATAATTATAATTATTATTATTATTTTTATTTTTATACTGACTACTTTACTAGAAGGAGTGCCAATTTTTCCTCCCTATAGCGGGTCAACAATCTTATCAATTGCTGGCTTTTGTGCCCTCCGCGCCGTGCTGCCGTGCCTTTTTCACGGCGAAATCATAACAGATTAATATAATTACATGGTACGTATTTTTTGATTAGCAATGCCCACCACTCAGTAAGTTAGTGCAAGACAATCAGAGATATTACGAAAAAAGACTCAGCTGATAACAACTTTTTAACATCTGTTGGTGTTCCGCCGTGGGAAGGTAAAATTCGCTTGTGTAAGATATTCTAACGATCGTTCCCATCTATTATAGTTTTTCGAAACTAGAGTTACCTCGCGACCCGAAGTTTTGTAGGGATTTTCTCAACTTTATTGTAGCTGTCCGACGTCTCTACATGACTATGACAAGATGCTGCATTGTCTTTTTTTCTGTTTGTATCATGAGTAATAGAAACGAATTTTATATTTGAGTCTTGTAATGTTTGTTTGTAAAATAAAATATGCAATTAGAATATTCTCGTTAGGTATCAAATTAAAAATTTCCATGCTAGGATCTTCTACAACTGATCAAACTGGAATGTAAAGAAACGGCTACTTCATGACTTCCGGGAAGTCTGATTTAACCTCTCGAAATAGACTGCAGTGCCCGATAATGCACACACATATGTTAGATTGTGATACGCACTGGTGTGAGCTCCTTCCACTGACAGAAAATTCGCAGAACCAGTCTCACAAAACGACCACTGCGATTCTGTGGCAATACTGAGACGGCAGCAATGTTTTTCAGGAGAATTATCTCAGTTATGTAGTCGAAGGTGATTCCTCTGCAGTGCTAACATTTTTCACTTAGAAATGTTATCTAAACTAAGGAGAAACAGAACAAGTGGAGATCCGATTATAATTTATTTTGTAATTTTTTTCAATTTATTCAGAACAATTGTCCAAAAATATTGCATCATATATCAAAAGTATTCTCATTAACACCGAGCATGTTGTCACTTTAAGAAGAATTTACATTTTAAACAGTGTTTTTATGAAATTTATAGGCAGAAATTTATAGGCTTTGTCTCTCGCCAATATGATTGGTTGAGTAGTGTTTCCGGGCGCGTCAACTGTTGAGGTCAATAATTCCGTGCAGCGCAGGTATTCGCTGGTGGTGACTATGATCGTCCCTGCGAGGTTTTCCCTAAACAGGTATCTCCTACCAGGGAGGCAAGTCCCTGCCGGGCTCTCAAAGCTTTCGACCGGTCACCCGACACGTGTGGTAGTGTGTTCACCTGGTGTTGATAGTAGGAACCACGGAAAACTTCCGATCAGAGCTAGGATTTCCTCCAGGCAGCGCCCGGATTCGACCTAGCTACGTGGCTAGTGTCGAAAATCCTGCTACCACTGGAACTCGAATCCTAGGATCTTCTGGTCAGAGGCACAGCAGTGACATCCATTGTGGTCCTGAGCCACCCCACCCAATTCCACCATACAGGAAAGACTATCTTTCCTCTAAGGTTCTACTACTTTACGCTCATTGCGGGGCCTTTTCTGAGAACATGGAGTGAAGCTATTCGTATGCAACTCCAAGCGCGGGGCAAAGCAGGAGGAAAAGAGGCTGATTCTGCCTGCCAACGGCATCATTCGCTTCAATCAAGAATATAGCTTGTACCACAAGAAGGAAGAGCCAACTTTAAATTTTCATACAAAAATGTTCACGAAAACTAAAAGTGTCTGTTAAATTTTACTAGCTGGACCCGTGCGAAATAATTGTTTTCAAAGTGAAAATTATTTCGTAGTCTAGAGAACACGACTTCGATCAGCTTGTTCATGAAATGTGCGTTACAGTAATATAGGCCCGGTTTGCCGAGGGCAACCATTCTAATATTTCTAAATGTTGGAATTAAGTTGCAAAGAATATCAACCAGTCTCTTTAATTTTATCGTGAAAGATTATTTCTGTAATTTGCCTTCAATTTGTTTTAAGATCGATTTTCGCATTTTTCTGGCCAACCATCCTGTCGAGTAGGTGTTATGCGTGAAAACTAAATCTCCAAAATCGTAATAGAAGGTTAAAAAAAAGTTTTATTTTGTAGAAACAATCCTGGCCTCTTCTGAAACACAACAACCCATGTATTTCTTTGGATCACAAAAACCTGGTTTCAAGGAACGTATGTGGCCAGCGTTAGCGCTGTTCAGACCGTAGACGCCTGCCTGTGGTGTAATGTCATTAATGAGCGCGTACATATTCATCACGGTACCTACTTCAAAGAGTTCCTTGATGGAAACCGTACCGAAAATAGTGAAAGTGAGTGCAGTGAAGGCTGTGCAAGTGAAAATAAAACTAGCGTTCCTACTGAATGGCACAGGCTTCCTCTTACTATTCAGTTTTCTAAAGTCCTAGGTCTGAGCTAGATTTGAAGTTCTAGTACACAGAAAACGTTTTTTACTTTTTTAAGCATTTCCACTCACAAATGCAATAATGTGTAAAAAAATTGCTGGAAATGTGCATATAACTTGAGGAAGGGATGTGAAAGAAAAAGTCGATTTGAATTTAACGATACATGTCTTAATGTCTTTAATAAATAAGCATATCAACCTTTCCTCCAGACATTTATTTTCATTTGGTATTAATAACACATCTACCATACCGAAAGTGTTTGTAATCGATACAAAACCTGATTTTAATAATATATTTTAACGTCACTTCGTTATTAGTTTTTGAAAGAATGTCATTTGGCATGGTGTCCATAGGCAATCACTGGCGGCACACAAGGTATCGATGCCAGCGATTATCTTCCAATAATGCAATTTATAATGGAGAAAAATATTGCAAATCATATTCTTTCAAAAATCACACCAGCAGGTGACTTTTCAGTTATAATATTTAAATTAATTATAATAAATAAACACATACAACGTCCTAAATGATCTGTACGAGTATCTTCCAAAGGCCGCCGCGTCAGATAAAACTATGTCTAAAAGTTCCGATGAAGTCTCGCTGTTTTATTGCAGGCGTCATGAAATAGTGGGGTGAATATGTTAACATAAATATAGCGCCATGATAGTCTCTCCGCAATGACACTTTGCTGGTGAAAGCGCTTGCCACAGAAATATTATGTTGGTAACACGAGCTGCACATTAAAAACGTAAATTCCGTACTCTTCACAATCACAATACATACTGGAAATGATTTTCCCTTCACTTGCTTCCCAGAGATCTGGTTCCTACCAAAATAAATGCAGTTTTTATGAGGAAGCTCTGTTTCGTCTCATTGCGGAGAGCCTTTCCTGGGACACTGTACTTTAAGAAACATTTTTAAACGTTTTATTTTCGGTTCTTTTTTATTAAAAGTTATGCTTAATTTGTTTCATGCGATCGCCATGGGAAAAAGACCACCATTGGTCTTCCTGGAAGTGTAAACCGTTTTCGAAATTAAATATCAACTTATTTCAAGGTCTATCTTTTAAAATCAGATTTCATTAAGCAAATAATCTCTATCTTAGACATTGTGGCTGTAAAAGACGTCCCCTAAATGTTTATTCAACAATGTTTAATCACAAAACAATGTTTAATCAAATTAACCGTTAGCGTTGTTCACAGATGGACAGACAGACGTTCTACTGTCATTCGATGTTTTGGTATCAAGGACCCATAAAAATAGATTCTGGCTACACCACGTGTTAGAGAACCCCCACCCCCCACCCCAATTTAACAAGTGGATTTATCCACTTTTTCTTTACCAGGACCGGAAATAAGGTTTTTTTGCCGAAATTCGTCGTTTTTCCATGATGCATTACATTAAGTTTACGTCTTAAAAGTGGGAAACTAAAAATTTGGAGCCACTTTGGGAGAATTGTGAAAAAGTTTAAACTTCTTATAAAGTGCCTTCAAAAATCAAAATTGTGTCAAACTCGCAAAGACTAGAGTTTTGAGACATCTATTGGGGAATGTCAATTTCGGAGAAAATCGGCTGAACAGGTTAAGCGCTAACGTTTGCCACAGACGGACGAACAGACGAATGGATAGGAAGGCAGAGAGCCAGACAAAAACATTTTAACATCAATTGATTTTTCGGTTTCAAAGACCCGAACAAAGGACCCAAGACAAAGAATGGATTATTAATACACGCAATTTTTATGCGTCACCGTAATGCTAGATCTATCATGGAAATCAGGACCGAATACACCCCTCGCTGTTAAAGTCAGTATGTTAACATAAAGCAATTCCATTGCATTTCAGAGACTCCTAGGTTACCATTACGCTTCTGCCGACGGGATCAAGCAGAGTTCCTTTCTGCATTACTAGCAGCAATGCGTAAAAATTCCAGTCATAATATTTACACCAATTGTGTTGTGGTACGCGCTAAGTTAGAGCTTCACTGACAGCGATATGTAACCGAGACTAAGTGTGTAGATCCCGTCGAGTTGTATCCCCGAATTTGTAGGTTACTGCAACTGTTGGAAGTTTGGCATACCCAGAGGTTGCATATCCCACACTTGGCAGAGATCTCTAGCCGTGGATACGCTCCTTGAGTTGGGCTGCCGAGGGCGCATGATGTTGGTATTTTACTACCTTTTCCTCCCAGCATTTCAGAAGCATACGTGCGTTTTATACACACATTGCACCGTTTATACCAAGCCCATGTATACACAAGTAATAAACTGAGGTTTGGATAGCGGCCAATATCTGTTTTATGTTTTATGCGTTGCCTCGGTATGCATTTTCTAGCTCTGCAACATTCAATGCAAGTAATATCTCCGTTGATGGAAAGCAGGTACTTCGTCTATTCACGCTCCGAGGTGGGAAACCCTACATGTAAAAGACCGAGAGTGAAGGTGTGTTCACATATCCAATGGACCATCGTATGATAAGGTGGCTACCATTAAATGCATCGGACTCGAGAGATTTATGTTAGTCAGTAAAAAAAGCGTAAGATAAATCTAAAAATATTTTCCAATGCTGTTTACAGGAGGCGTCATAAACGGGCCATGTGTCCCGTTGAAACAGCCGGTATTAACAACTTCTATGCATACGTATGGTTTAAGTTTTGTCTTTAACTTCAATTTATAATTCTTTTGGACTGAAATTTCTGATTGTAAAGTTGAGATTAAAAATTCAATTCTAATTAAAATTTATAATCTCTTGCAAAAATGTCTTTGCAACAATCTGATGGCTAACTACGATACGAGAACCTGTGTGTAGCTGCTTCGTGATGCTATACTTTTTCTGTAAACTTAGCCTACAACTGAAATTTTACCATTAATATTAAAAACACGTTTATAATAGAAGCGTGAGAAGAAAAAAATACTGCAAGCGTCCAAAAAGTATTTTTTTCGGTTTTAAAATTTTTTAACCCGTATTCTCACAAAAAATACTATTCGGGTCCCGAAACATCGTTCATTGTGAACAAAATTTGTTTTAGTCTTGTTTAATAAATTGACTAATTATTGGAAAATAATTATTCATGACCACATATGACTTGAAATGTATTGAATGTTATTAACTCTCTGGTCGAGAATACATGTTTGCTGGTTTTAGCATAAGCGACATAGTTGCGACCACTTGGGGTTAAATGGAAGCCATGCTATTGGGCAGTTGCTGGGAAAGGAGGATTTCGGCAAGTGGTACTTTGTGCTTTGAAAGGTAAGTGTTATGTTACAGAAATAATAATTTAAGACTGTTTTGTAGAAGGCCTTTTATCACTATAATAGTTTTGGGCATATTTTCTTATATTAACCGTAAGTAAAGACCACATGCTCCCTGAAGCCTGCATGTTATCTCAAATGATCGTTCACGCAAAGTTCAAAATAAGTATTTTTATTAAATTTTCTGTGAATCATAAGGAATATAAATAAAATTATTTGTGCCTCAGCACACTGTATTATGAATTATTGACAAAAGGTACTGATCAATAATTGGAATATATGTTTTGAGGATCCTAGATTCACTATTGCCCTTAGAATTACAAACGAAGGAAGTGATCGTGAAAAAAACATTTTTAAATCCATTGAAACACGTAATGTTGAACACTGCATTTTCTTAAATATAAGTTATTGATATATATATCAGTATAATGAGTTGACGAATTAGTTCATTAATTCTTTTGCAGTGTCATAAACGTCTTTGTGTAGTATCATCGGTCGAGGTGTTAAAATCATTCAGTTTAATGGTATTTTTTGTGAGACTCTTTATTACGAAATGCACTTAAATTTTGTACGTACAATTGATGTATCGTCGTCACGGGGTACTTGGACCCTAAAGGACCCTTAGGGTATTAGGGGTTTAAGATACACAACAGTGAAGAGCTAGTAACGCCACCTAGAAACTGTATATCTAGGTGATGATACTATATTCAGGTGATTAATTATTTATTAATTGACTTAGTTAATGAGATTGTAATTATTTATTAATTGATTAATTACAGAAGTGATATACGCGTGATTAATTTGGAATATTTATTAATTTGAGCGTTCCTTTCAGAACTTAGAGGCCATTTTAATTTCTTATATTTATAAGATTTGACTTGATGGATACGTGCGCGGTATTGCCGACTTTTAGTTTTCTTTTAATTATAATATGCAAAAAACGGGATATTATATCGCTCATTATTTTTTATTGATTGTCTATTTAATTACATTAGAAATTATTAGATTAAATTGAATTAGGAATTACAAACGAATTGAAGCCATTGACTTTCGTTATATTGTTTACGTTTGAATTTTTTTCGAGTATCCAATTATTTTCGTATTTAAAGAATGTAATACTGTAGGACCAATTATTTGTCAGATACTACGTTTGTACGCATTGTAAAGTCATTAATATTAACACTATATTGAAAAATTCATTGTTTGAAGCGATGAGAAAATAAAACATTTGTTTAAGGTAATGAACTCATTGTTTTGAATGAATACGTAGGGAGATATATAAGATGGCATTTACTTCTGGATGCTCCATTTATTTGATAAATTATCCTTGCGTGTCGGTATGATATGCTGTAAATAAAAAAATATTTTTAATAGTTTTTATTGGTTTACTATTTCATTTTTTTCAAAAAGCTAACGCAAAGATGAAACGTTTAAATAACTGCATATATAGGCGTTCTTTATGGAAGCAATAGGGTTCCATTAAGAACGCCTTAAAAAAACTTTCATAAACCACAGCAATGCAAATTGGAAGAAAAACATCTATTCTATTTACGGTAAAAGGCGCTTTTCTTCTATTTTTGCAATTGATCTATTAATCGTTTTGTATGCGAATATAACGCTGCACGCAAATCTAACATTGTTTTGTATGTTTATACGAATAAGGTATTAGTTGACTTTAATAAGAATATTGCTGTAAAATTCATTTGAAAATGGTATATGCACACTTATGTAAGAACGTAAAAGTGAGAAGTCGAATATTCAATGTTTAGCATTACTCCCAGTTTCGTTTTCTGCGTATTCACTTTCAATTCTTCAAGTTTAATAAGTTCGTAGGTTTTTGAAAATTTATTTTTTTTAAATACGATAATTCGAATCAAAATTGAAAGCAATCTGCAGCGCGATTTACCTGTTAATTCAATTGTGTACTTAAATATGTCTAAATCACTGTCGCCAACGTCGTGAAAGAAAATTACGACATATTGATAAAAAATGCCTTTGAATACTTTGGTTGAGGGTTTGGTTAAAATATTGACATTAACAGAGCGCCAAAAAACGAAAAAAAAATTGAAATGTCTTTGAATCTTTTGGCCGGATTCGAAAACAAACTATGTTCCCCATCAGGAGACCGAGGCTTGTCGTATGACCTCATACGTCTCGATTGGTGCACGGGAAGTGGTCTAGACGCGAGTGAGGAAACCGCACACATCCGCACACTTTTGTTTTTTTCTCAAGATATACTGTATAGAGATTTAAAATTAATGGTTCGCTTCTGGACTTCCTGATCGTCTCCTTTTATTGTTATATTACATCACATATTTAACCCACTTCCTATCTTGTATGTCAAACTCTTTCAATGTTAGATTGTATAAATAAAAATAATAATTTTCAGTATAAATATTGAATTGACAATGCTATTGGCTGTCGCTTTTTGTAATTTGGTGCATTATTGCATGGCTAATACTAATTCCAAAATTTAACCTGTTTGGGGTTAAGAACTGCTTCCTAGCTTTATTTCTGACAGAGATTAATTCATGCAGAACTACTATTTATAATTTAGCGTCCCTTTTTCAGGCACACGTAATAAATACTCGATTCTTTACAAATGTGGGCCAAAAAACTTACATAGGAATGGAATACATGGCAGGAGGGGACTTGTCAGCTTTTGTTCGAGGAGGAAGAGTGATTCTTACAGAGAATCAGACCAAGTTGATTTTCTACCAGTTAACTGATGCTGTTGTTTACCTCCATAGTAAGGGTGTCTGTCACAGAGATCTAAAGGTGAGTCATAAGTGTTAAATGTGTTGTATGCAGTTTTTACATTAGTACTAGCTGAACGTGTACAAATATTCGGTACTTTGAAAGCGATTTATAAATGATTCAAGTAAGTGAAAATGCGGTATCTTCATGTCGAAACCCAACTTCGAACAGCCAGGCCCTGAATTGTACTTTTGGCTCAGTTGGGATGTAGTTGATATACGGCCAACTTTCGGATATAGTTAATTGTCTGCTAACGAACAGAACTACATGTATCCCAGATATTGAATTGCACAGAAATCCAAATTATCGTTTTATTACTTTCTCATATACTACTTAGTACAGAGAAAGTTGTGTAATTCTGTTTTAATATAGCTTTCGTGATCCTGCTTGTTTCTGACAAGCAGCGTGCTACAGAGATAGGATTAACCGGAAGTTTGTCGAACACAGCTGAACATAACTCTGGTCGCAGTGACACCGTGCCTCACAGAGTATATTTTCAATCAATAGTTTAAAAAAATAATTTCTTGAGAAGTATTGCACTCATTTGAATGAAATTTGGTGTGAACATCTTCCGTACGTTAATCATTTAATTCATAATATTTGCTTCAGATGCGATTATTTAGAGAGAGAGAGATGGAGGTAGAGATAGATAGATAAAAAGATAGATATAGATAGAGATGGAGGTAGAGAGAGAGATAAAATTAGTATGGTAATAAAAATGGAGTAGAGAGAGATAAGATATAGAGAGAGATAGTGATATATAGATAGATAGAGAGGTTGGTAGCACTGATCGTGCCGTGCGAACGCGCTGAATGTGAGGTGCCGCTTCAATCCGGAGATACAAGTGAATTCTGGCCAAGAGCGCCCCAAGGTATGTCCTCGCAAAACACTATGTAGCCCGTAAAAGCGGCTCTAAATGAGGCCATGATATTATTTGAAATGCTGACGGAGACGAGCAGTACGATCGTCGAAACGGGATCAGTTCGAGAACACGTGTGCAGCAAGGAGACACACATAGGTAAGAAACGACAAGAAACAGTGTCGAAAAAAAATAAGCATGGCCAAAGGAAGAACACCAGGGGCCCCAGCGCCAGGAAGAGACGACGTCTTATGAGTGTGATGCACTCAAAAATGCTCTATGTAGCCCCGATCTGCGCAGAATCTCTTCAAAACTAGAATTTGAGAAGGAAAATGCAGTACGTCCAGAGGAAAGGAGCTCTACGCGTAACATCGGCGTGTATAACTGTATCCGAAAGTGATGTTCTTCTTCTGGCGAACGTCCCTCCTATTGTTCTGCTTGATCTAGAAATGAAAGAAGTTTGCGACTACTCCCATGAGCAAGACAACGGAAGGCAAACGCACCAAGACACGTATAGCGCAATTAAAAAAAGCTAAAGAAAACCTGATGCAACGCTCGCAGAAACGCTGAAACAGTGAGGAGACCGGCAGATGGACCAATAGACTCATCCCGAATGTATCCAAATGGATAAGCCGCAAACACGGGTGTGTGACATTCCATTTAACTCAGGCATTCACAGGGCATGGATGTTTTAAGGAATACCATAAAAGATTCAGAAAGACTGAAGACGCGGTATGCTTCTACTGCAGCCATGAAGTGGACGACGCCGAACATACACTGCTCCATTGCCCGAGACGAGACACGCTATGGCATCGCATGATATGGGAGGTTGGGTGTACTGTCTCACCAGAAAACATGGTCACACTAATGATCTGTAACGAGGGGAAGTGGACAGCAATAGCGAGATATAACACCGCCATTCTCAAGAAGAAGGAAGAAGACGAAAGAAAACAGTCATAGCTGAACCTGAGTAGCACCTCGAAGTAATACAGCTAGCACCATTCTAAAGTAATGTATAATTGCGGTTCCAGCGAGGATAACGCCAGGAACATAAAGGGTTTGTCGTTTTAGTGGGTAAAAATCTCACAATGTTGAAGAGTCCTCTTCGTCTTTTGAAGATTTCCACTCTTTTGAAGAATTCCCCTCGTAAAAAAAATAAAAAACATAGAGAGAGAAAGATATAGGGAGATATATAGATAGATAGAGAGAGAGGATTGCGAGAGAGAGAGAGAGAAACTCTTTAAGACAAAGTCTTGTTGGTGTGGCAAATTCTTGGCAAATTATCTGTATTTTCAAAAATTGAAGAAAATTAACAGTCTAAAAGTACAATATTGATGATATATTTTTCGTAAATAAAATCTGTTATAAAACGTAAATCGTAAAGTAAATCCGGTCATCTACAATTTTTGGAAGCACAAGTAGTTAATACCTAATTTCTGCTTATAATTAATGCACTTTATATTTTCTTCAAAATGCTGCTTGAAATTTTATCTTCATAAACAGAGCAAGTAACGATTAAAATTGCTACAGGTATCAATTTCCTTGAACTCTCTAAATTTTTGAAAATTGGAAAAAATTGAAAAAAATGTGAGAAAGTTTTTGCTATTACAGCATCACTAGTTCAAAAATTATTTTCAAGGAACAGTTAAGAAACTTGTGTTTGGTTATAAATCAATTGTCAAAATAATATCCCACCTCCAAAAAATGTTAAAATTAGAATTGAATTTAAGAATCAGCAAAATGGTTCAAAAATGATTACTCAGATGCTTTAAGGTTTTTAAAATCAGAATGAAGTTATTGACCAAATATTTAGTAAAGGAAATCTCATTTGTATATTAATTTTCTAAGGAAGGGCAATGTTTTTATACCCCTTGTAATTCACCATTGACCCAAAACGTATCTGCGATTTTTACTTTCCCGTAAACATGTGTATATACGAAGTAATTTACGTAGAATAGGGAAAGTTATGTATTGCTAAGGAAAATCTATTTCGAAATTTCAACAGAAATACACTTATTGAGGTACTCTAATACCGAAAAAGTGTATTTTTTCAAGAGACCCGCCCGTCTGTCCGTGCACACTACTAGCGCCTAAACCATACGTACGAATTCTTGCAAGATGAATATTTCCCGGCCGATCTGGCTAGACTCGAGGCCCTGCGATTTTGAAAAAATCTTTCTTCAAAATTTGGGGATACCTAACATGTAGCCGCCCGGACATTTTCAATATTTTCTCAAAAAGCTCCAAAGTTTTTCGTTAAAATTATTTCCAAAATAGAGTAAAATATACTTATAAAGGTGACATTAATCTGATCGCCAGGGTTAACTCAAATTTTGAATATTTAAAAATTTTGATATTTTTTGCGCGTCTTCCTACTACTACAAAAAAACATAGAGACTTTTCCTTCGAAAAAAAATTGTTCTCCATAGCGAGTTTTTTCATTAAGGTCCTGTATATTTTTTTGAATATTTTTGCTAAATGTTGCGTCCAAGTTTTGCAATATTAAAAAAGAATAAAAACAAGATTTTCTTAAAAACAGCTTCACATTTTTTCTTTAAACTGTTCGTAAAGATTGTGATAAAAGTACCCTATGAGATGACATACGCGCTCTATTCTTTTGTTTTTCCAAAAAAAAATTATTTTTTTTTTGACTTTTGTCTTATGTTGATGATACTTATATCAGCGAAGATTTGTTCACATTACTATATTGATGAGTGCATGCTTTAAAAAATGTGATGTAAAGTTTTTCGAAAACTCAACCGTGATCTGAGAAAACTAGCTCAAATTTTCGCATTTTCAGAAACGCTCAAACGCCATTTCGTGAAATAGGCCTCAAATTGTTTTTTCCAACTTGTCGAACAGAGACTGCTAATTATACTCTTTAATATGACATAAAGTTCAAATTGCTGTAATTTTTTGTTTCTTTCTTTAAAATTACTCAAATGTCTTATTTTTTGTAAACAATATTTTCTTCAAAATGGCTCCATATTTTTCAAAGAAACTGGCCATTTATAACAAGGTTTTATTTTTCTTTATTATGCGTAATATAATATATCCGTTCTACAATTAGGAAACTGAAATATTTAAAAATATGTAAAAATGTAATTTGGGCGATGATTACATCTGCTGCAAAAGTATGTGGCAACAGCTAGCCAAGACCAAAAGAAATAGAAAATTAAATACGCCAAAGTCTGCGACATCATGTAGAACCACTAGTTACTTCCTCAAAAGTTGGTTTGAGAAAATGCTTTCTAGGCACAAATTTGCATTGTAGAAGCACAGAAACACTCTAGAAACATGTACATTGTTTATTATTTACAAAAGATATGAATATATTTGTTCAGAAAGAAAAATATTCACGCAGAAATAAAAAAAAGTACCCAATTTATACAACTCGACTGCTTTTTTATTTCTAGGTTAATTTTTCTATCTGAACATTTTTTTTTGTATATAACAAACAATTTTCATGTTTCTAGAGTGTTTCTATGCTTCCAGAATGCCAATTTTTGCCCGGAAAGCATTTTCAAAACAACTTTTGAGTGCTTATAGTGGGTAAAACATTCAGAATATCCAAGTAGTTTATTAGACAAAATTTGCTTAAAATAGTTTTAAGACATTATCAAAGTTTACACGATTTCTCTCCGCACACACAATTATTCAATATTAGAATAGTCGATAACATAATATTATCACTGATTTGTTTTACTTGCGTTCTTTACATTATAATTTGTTTAATATTTTGCCTATTTATTTCAAGCCTGCCAACATTCTTTTGCACCGTGCTCAGCCACGTACATTAATCAAAGTCACTGACTTGGGAATATCAAAATCAGAATTATTGCACAGTCCACCTAATACGGCAATTGGAACACTGCCCTTTATGGCTCCTGAGACAAGACATCAAAAATACACGAAAAAAGTTGATGTATGGAGCTTGGGAGTAATATTGTATTTGAGGTAAGACAACACGTATCATTAGTAATATTTTAGAACGTTATACTGAAAATTTGTTTGTTCAGCCTAACAGGTTCATATGCCAGTGTCAATGCTAAGAGAAATGACGTTCCCCTACCTGAGCTGGCATCAAATCGGATTGTGACAAGACTTATCAAGAAAATGCTTCAAATTTCACCAACTCACCGTGCAGATATTACGGAAGTTATGGGGCATGAGTGGTTACAGGTGAAGTAGTTATTCACATCACTATGTAATTGTCAGAGTTATTTATCTGTAGACTTTAGTAAAATTGGTGAATGAGAAGTGATTTCAATTTATTTATAAGCCTTTTGGATTAGACACTTTTATTGTTATTTACTTATTTATTTATTAATTGTTATATATGAAATTCACAGCGAAAATAGATAAACCTTTCGGTTGTAAACGGGAATTGGTCAGGGTGCACTTTGAAATTTTGCTCTAAGTGTTAGGGGAGAGATATATGGGTACTCTCATGCAGACAGTAACTTTCCTCTGGTTTTTGAAGGTTACATGTATGAAAGATCATTAATGTTGAAATCCTATGGCAGATTAGTATGCAAAGAGTCACACGAATAAGTTCTTGAAGTCGTAGGCGTCCGTGGTCAGAGTTGTGCAATAATTATTTCGGCTGTCCGGGTGAGTCCTCGTCGTTGGCTGTGGTGCCGACGTGTCAACCATCTTGTCGTGGTCTTTCCCCAGGGCTGGTCTGCCAGACAGGTACCACCCGGACAGCCAAGATCATTTGCAAAGAATGTCTTCCTTTTCCG